TCTCTCTCTCTCTCTCTCCCCCTATTTTCTGATCCGTTGAAATTCTTCATTTTCAATTATTTATTTGGTTATTGGAAGTGACGGGCTGCGCCGTAATTCTTGTGTGAATTTTTTGCTGCCCACATAAGTTTAGTATATACTTTAATGGCTGAAAAAAAAAGATGAATAAGTGGTGATTCTATATTTACACTGTGTATTATGATATATTTAGAACAGATTGGGGTTGATCTTTCATAACCTTGTTAGTTGCAACTCAAGTGGATCATATCACAGGGAATGGTCCTAATGTGCAGTAGGATTTTGATATTGGTATTGGTACTTGGATTAACTGAGCCCATGATAGCAAATAGATTATATTCTTCTTCGTGATGGCTCGGTTTGTCTTATAGTTACTGAGAACTTCAAAGTGTGTGTAGTTTTTGTGAAGAACATCATGGGACATTTAGCTAATGTTCTGCGTGTCGTCTTCTTGGTAGCAGAATAAGTTCCTGTGAATAAACTAATCTTTGGAAGAGAACTAGAGATAGTCGTTACAAAACTAGAACTAGTCGATGGATATCTTGAATGAAGTGCATATTGAAGGGAAATCGGTAAGCAGTGAACATGGTTTCATTAATTTTTTTTTTCCTTCCATGCTGTTTTCTGGTTTTGGTTTGAGCCTAGAGCAGAAACAAGGAGCTGATGGCTGATAAAAGGAGATGAGATAAGCCAAAAGAGTTACCATCACGCCACGTCCTGGAATTGGCGGGTAACGCAAGCAAGGATCTGAAGGTGAAGCGTATCACGCCACGTCATCTGCAGTTGGCTATACGTGTTGATGAGGAGCTCGATACCCTCATCAAAGGAACCATAGCCGGTGGTGGAGTCATACCCCATATACACAAGTCACTTATCAACAAGTCTTCCAAGGAATAACAAGTTTGATGAAAACAAAAATCTTACTTGCTCCGTTGGTTTGGAGCAAGACTAGTGTGAATAAGCCAAAGAGTTACTGCATGATGGTAAATTTTAAAAAAAATGCATGTAATTTGGGACAGGGGATAAAGTAACCACTATTATATTTGCTTAATTGTTTTCTAATATATTTTTGGTTAGATAACATATATCAATTGTTCAAAACGGTTTCAGACCATACCGACTTCGATATCATTAGTGCAACAACGAGAATGCCATTAGCCCACAGCTTAGAGGAATTTTAGTTCGCAAATTCAGTGCCAACCCGAGTTCCTTTTTCCCCACCTCGACATCTTTTAAACTTATTATTATTATTGCGATCAAAAGCAGCTTCTAATAGCGAATTGTAAGGACTCCGTGAAGGTTAAGTACTCGGACCTATCAATAGGCCCCGGTCCATCCCAATGGTGATGGTAGCTGCATATCTATTCACGTCATCCCGTAATACAATCTCGAAGTTCCCCAGTTCTCCGTTAGAACCAGTTTCCATAACATTTAAACCGATTATCAAACAACGCACTGCAGAGATTGAGTATAAACTGTATAAAGTCCCCCGTATTAATTTCAAAGTCCATGTTTTTAGGTACCTGCAGTTGCATAATGACCATCATGTTTAAACTTGAAGACAAATATATAACTACGACATTATGTATTCAAATAAAGTTTGAGAATTGGGAACCATCTACGACATTATCTAAAAGGACCATCATGTTTATGTAATTTTTCTTCCTGATTTTGACTTGACTTAAACTGTATAGTAGTATTTTCAGATGGTTCCCACTTCTTAAAGTTTATTTGAATACATAATGTCATAGTTATATATTTGTCTTCAAGTTTAAACATGATGTTCCTTATGCAACTGCAGGTACCTAAAAACATGGACTTTGAAATTAATACGGGGACTTTAAACAGTTTATACTCAATCTCTGCAGTGCGCTGTCTGATAATCAATTTAAATGTTATGAGAAACCGATTCTAACGGAGAATCGGGGAAGCTTCGAGATTGTATTACGGGATGACGTGAATAGATATGCAGTTACCATCACCATTGGGCGCAACGACATCTATGTATATGGGTTCGTAGCGGGTGAGGTTCGGCGAGAGTGATGGACCGTGGCGTATTGACATGTCTGAGTACTTAACCTTTACGGAGTCTTATAATTTGTTATTAGAAAACTGCTTTTGATTGCGATAATATTATGAGTTTAAAAGATGTCGAAGTGGGGAAGAAAGAACTCGGGTTGGCATTGAAGTGGTTCGCGGACTAAAATTCCCTAAGCTGTGGGTTAATCGCATTCTCGTTGTTGCACTGATGATATCGGAGTCGGTACGGTCTAAAACCGTTTTGAACAATTGATATGCTATTTAACGAAAAATATATTAGCTTAATTCTTGATATGCTATTTAACGAAAAATATATTAGAACAATTAAGCTGATATAATAGTGTACAATTTATTTATCCCTTGTACCAAATTACATACATTTTTTTAAATTTACCGCATGATGGTAACTCTGTCCCAATTTATTTTGGAGTACTTAACAGCGGAGGTCCTGGAATTGGCGGGAAACGCAAACAAGGATATGAAGGTGAAGCGTATCACGCCACGTCATCTGCAGTTGGCTATACGTGGTGATGAGGAGCTCGATACCCTTATCAAAGGAACCATAGCCGGTGGTGGAGTCATACTACACAAGTCACTTATCAACAAGTCCTCCAAGGAATAACAAGTTTAAGGAAAACCAAAATCTTACTTGCTCCGTTGGTTTGGAGCAAGAACTAGTGTGATTGAGTAGATTAAGGGCTTATGGATTCTTTTTTTTTTTTTTTTTTTTTTTTTTGTTTTTCTTCTCTCTTTATTATTATGCGACTAGGTGGATTGGATGATCTAGCTGGCTGACTTATGAGGTGAAGAGGCTTTCAATTGAATGATGTATCTCATAAGCACTCTTGTTACATGGATTCGGTGTTTGTTTTATTACGTGAAGTTTAAGACTCACCTATTTTCATGTTTTAATTTGTGTATTTTCTAGTTTTGTTTGTTACTGTTGGTACTATTTTTCATGTTTTATTATGTGAAGCGTAAGACTCACCTATTTTCATGTTTTAGTTTGTGTATTTTCTAGTTTTGTTTGTTACTGTTGGTACTATTTTTCATTATCGTGCGTCGAATTGATCCTTTCTGCCTTTGGTGGAGTTTCTCGCTGCAAATCGTTTAGGCAGCATTGTACTATTTTCATGAATCCATCTCCAAAGAAATCAAAGCTGCAGAAACACATAGTTTGAAGCCCTTCAACGGTATTGAGATCAGAGGTATAAAATTAGAGGAACTCGGTTCAAAACCAAGTGATACACATTAAGCACTAATGGAGACAAGCCAAGCTGTAAATAAATCGAAACATACAAGAATCCTAGCATCACATGTCCTCCCAGTGATATCACAGTCAAAGAGGCGCTTCAGTATCCAGAAGAGCGGCCATCGACACACAGAAAAATAAACCCCACAGGGCGTCAAAGCTACAAATTAGACCTACAAACATCACATTCCAACACCCCACAAAAGAACCCTCATCCTGGCTCCCATCTAAGGGCCAAAGATCGACAACCAAATAAATAAATTAAAGAAAAAAACACGAGTTAAAAGATAAAACTGCAACATGAACACTGCCAACCAATCAAATAGCTGCCACCTTAGGTACCTCCACAGGGAACTGATCAATCTCATCCATCCATGGGCTCTTCTCCTTTGCTGGGTTTATAGTCCTGAGCGCTTTCCATACAGCACTGTTGCACTTGAAGCCCGACCCGAACGCAATCTGCCAGGTCCGATCCCCTCTCTTGATCCTCCCCTTGGCTTCCGAATACGCCAGCTCATACCACAAGGAGCTGCTCGACGTGTTACCGAATCTGTACAGTGTCATCCTCGAGGGCTCCATGTGCCAATCCGAAAGCTGCAGGTTTTTCTCCAGCTCGTCCAGCACGGCCCGCCCCCCAGCGTGAATGCAGAAGTGCTCAAAAGCCAGCTTAAAATCTGGTATATAAGGCTTGAGCTTCATTTTCAGCAGCTTTTTCCCAACCAAAGTCGCGAAAAACAGCAGCTGCTCGGACATAGGCAGGACGAGCGGGCCTAAAGTGGTGATGTTCGTCTTTAGAGCATCCCCAGCGACTGCCATCAGGTCCTTAGACAAAGAAACCCCAATTTTCCCGTTCGGATCTTCCAACTGCGTCACACACGAGAAGCACTTATCGTCCGAGCCTTTATGGGTCCGAACAGTGTGGACCAGCCGATATTTGGCCCTCCAGTAATCTGACCTCTTGTTCGACAGCAAAATGGCTGCACCCCCCATTCGGAAAAGACAGTTCGAGACGAGCATCGACCTCTCATTACCGAAATACCAATTCAGCGTGATGTTCTCCATGCTGATGACCAGAGCATAAGTATTTGGGTGCACCTGCAAAAGATCCTTGGCAAGGTCGATGGATATCAAGCCCGCGCTACACCCCATACCCCCGAGATTGTAGCTAATTATATTGCCCCTCAGCTTGTAATGATTAATAACCATAGCCGACAAAGAAGGTGTCGGGTTGAAAAGACTGCAGTTAACAATCAAGATCCCGATATCTTTTGGCTTCAATGAAGTTTTAGCGAGAAGTTCGTCTATGGCACCAAACATGACAGCCTCCGCCTCTTTCCGTGCCTCGGCCATGCACGGATTGGGCGGGACTCGGAGGACAGCATCAGGAAGGTATGTGGACTCTCCCAGGCCCGATCGCTCTAGGATCTTGCGCTGGAACTCGAGGTTCTCGTCCGTGAACGAGCCCGTGAGCTTGGACCTCTCCATGAAGATTTGACGGCTGCATTTGCGGTCTGGATCGGGCTTGTAGCAGGAGAAGTTGACTAGGTAAACAGGCCTTGGCCGTGTTAGGAAGTAGACTGTTGAGAGAAAGACCAAAAGGGCGGAGCAGACAATGACGGATATGAGGTTAAATCGGAGATGGTCCCACAAGACGTGGAGGTCCTCGAGGGAGAAGGTCGAGAGCTGGGCCACGATTATCACAAGCAATGGGGATAAAAAAAGGTACATGCCATGGGTGATGAGGTAATGGTACCCAAGCTTCACATATTTGAGCTTCACTGATTTTTTGAAATCTGGGAGCTTCCGGGAGGTCGAGGGTGGCATCAAGGGCATGGTGGCTTTTGTTTCACTCATTTTTATTATTTTTATTTTTTTTTTCTGCCCACCAAATCTTGAAGTCTCTGGAGAAGAGGAGAGGGGATAATGAGAGAGAACGAATAAAGAGGCTTATCAATGGCGATTGGAATATTGATACAATTAAAGATCTCTGCAACTAAATGCGAATGTGATTCGAAAAACTGGGAAAGTGACCTAAGATGAAATTGGACCAAAATAATGGAGCTGTTTTTCTGGATCTAAAAGAGTCAATCAATGAGAAAAAAGAGCACTTTATTTATTTAGCAACGCCATAAGAATCAAATCTTCTTTGAATAAAATACATATAAGAAAAAGGCAAACATACATACAAACATACCTTATCGGCGGCTCTCTCCCCCTCTCCAGAGAAGCTCCTAATGCGGCTCAAAACGACGACGATCCCTGCAAAAATTAATTGATAACCGGTGGACACGAAAGAAACAGACATGGCATCATCGGCAAAAACAAATTCCTAATTTTACCATGAAATGTATGTAAATGCTGAAAAACAAAATCAAAATCGAAAACGAAATTGGGGGGAAAAAAAAAATGAAGAGGAAAATCGAGGCTGAAAAGAAGGCAGATCATAAAATACTAACCTTTTTAGCCTCCGACCTTCAGATGTATCGGAGAGACCTAATGAGAGAGATTTGGAGAGAGAGAGAGAGAGAGAATTGAGGAGGAGGTGGGTGGGTGGGTCAATGATATTCACCAAAAGCTCCGAGTGGCGACAAACAATGATGTTCTGTAATTTTTGAACGCATATATCTATTTGTACGCCATGAGTTGTATTTGTACATCAAACAAACATATAGGTTTTGAATTTTTCAACCCCAGCCGGCCGAGCATGATTCACTGTCAACTATTGCTTTATTGATTTGCCCATATGTATTCAATTAAAACTTTTATTTTTTATTTAAAAAAAAAAAATTAGGAGTTGCAATCTTTTTTAGATTTCTAAAACGTCTACCTTTCATTTAAATTAAAATATTTTAAAATTTCTGATGATTTGCAATCTTTTTTAGATTTCCAAAACGTGTACCTTGATTTAATTAAGACCTATAAACAATTTTTATTTTTTTTTAAATTAAATTAAAGATGTTTCAAGGTATTTAATTAGAATTTTATAAGAGACTTTACAAGTCACTCGATATTTAAAATATAACAACTTTATGAGACTTTTTAAATTTAAAGACTTAAAGATTTTTTTTTTTAGTAAAATCACATAAAAAAATTCTAGTAGAAATCTCATCAAATTTGTGAGTTTTTACTACATGACTATTCAACATATTTTTTTCTATAGGGTTTAATGTATCTTATATTACTTTCGTACTTTATTATTTACTCATTTAACTTGATAATTTTGATTTGGGATACCATATCTGAGGGAATAAATCGTTCGACTAAGTCGAGCGAATCGTCTGGTCGAGTATAAATATAGCAAGTCCGATAGTGGTCGAACATCACCAATCTGGGATTAAAAGCTTTTGATCGGGAAGACAACATAAAGGGTGCAGGATGTCAACAATTTGTCGAGCTAGTATCTTCGGTTGGCCAGATTGAAACTCGGCCTGCAAGCACAGTTGGTCGACGACCAGAGGAAGCTAGATTCAGTCCAAAGCAGTCAGAACTCTACCTCAGCAAATTTCGACCTTGTCGCACTACCAGGAGGTCTAACCACGAGAGATCAAAGGAATCTTAAGATAATTGATACCACACATGGGGCACAGACACGTGGTACCACCTGATTGGTCCATTCTCCATACCGCTCTGACATTCTGAACAAAAAGGTTGTACTATCGGGCAGCTGGGGCAGCCAGCACATTATATCCGAACAGTCTTGTAGAAACATGTACCTCACCCCTATAAATAAGAGTGAGATGTGTGATTTTACCTCATTATGTCCATATTACTCTATATTCTCTTGAGTTCATCTTCTACACACTTATTTAAGCATCAGAGGCTCTTCACTAAAATATCCATCCAGTTTGAGAGTTTTTGCAGGTCTAAAAGCATTCAACCAGTGAGCAAGCACATGAGCAGGCCGATTTTCAGCCGGTCGGAGACTTCTACGTACCAAACTTGTATAAAGTACTTTTTTATCACAAATGTTTAACGTGATTTTTTCTTTTATTTATTGTGAATTATGGTTATTTATTGTATATTTACTTTTATCTTCTCATTTGTTTGTTTCTCAATTTAACTTCTTAAAAGTAAAATGTTTGTAGAGTTCGCACCTTCTAAAAATTCCACTTTTAGCATTGTCTTTTGATAATGTTAATGTCTTGTAAAAGTATATCAATATAATATTCTCGAATACTGCAATATGATGCAAAAAAAAAATAATAATAATAATAATAACAAAATTCAAAATAATCACATATATATGTCATGACCGAATGAGTGTCATTTCATCCGAGATGAGTAACTCATGCTTATTTTGTGCTCGTTTTTAATAAACGAATATAATGCTCAGCTCGAGTTCGACTCGTTCAAGCTCACGAAAGCTCAGATCAACTTGACTCGTTTAATAAATGTAAAACTCTACTCAATTTTTCTCTCCCTTGCAATTTCACTGTAGAAAAAAAAAATATCAGATCTAGATCTCAACCTGTGTGTGGTGCGCCTCTCTTACGGCGGGGCTGACCGCTGTAGCTCCATCCCTCTCTCGGGCGGTCCTAGCCACACCCTGCTTTTCCAGGTATGACCAGTTTTCCCTTCTCTGTT